TCTGCCCTCCCTTGATGACTTCTGCTGTATGCAGGCGATGAGTCACAATAACGTGGCTGAAGTATGTTGACCAGACCACACACACTAGAAGTTGAAGGGACGACGACGTTTCGGTCTGTCCTGGACCATTCTCAAGTCGATCCATTCTCAATCGACTTGAGAATGGTCCAGGACGGACCGAAACGTCGTCGTCCCTTCAACTTCTAGTGTGTGGTCTGGTCAACTTCTGCTGTAGTTTCCCCCCCCCTCCCATTCTGTGCCGTAATGCCTCTTGTCTCCTCATTATTGTGCAAGTTGTACTGATGTTAGCTCCTGGCTACACTAACCTGGAATCTCGCTTTTTCCTCCGATCAATTCAATAAAATAAGACAATGTCAAACGCTAGTTATTTATTATTAGTAAGATCGCACTTCACTAGGATGGAGACACCAAACATGAACTATTAAACCATAGGAAAACTAAAAAAAAAAAATACAGCTTCTTGATGTATATACTCCACTGAGTTTACATTAATAAGCAATGTTGACAATGTATTAGACAATGTTGTGGTTGGAAATGTATATGTTTATCTCTCAGAATGTTTGGTAATATGTTTATTGTTTGTGATGTGTTTATATGTATGTATTAACACGATGTACTGAACGGGGTGAGAATAGCTTGAGCTACCTCATCCCTTTGTGTGTATTTTACCTCAATAAACTTATTTCAATTTTAATTTCAATGTTGTGGACCAAAGTCTACATACTGCTTGCTCGGTTAGGCATTGCAGTGACCTTAATAACCCTCCTGCGAGTGCCTGGCTTTAAGGTCAAACATCAACAGGTAACCCTTTAAGGAACTGTAAACTACGACTGGTTTCCTTAAGTATAATAACAACTCCTTTCCTTAAGTATAAACTACAACACATTTCCTCACGTAACCGTAAATTTCCGACATTATTACGAACTTAAAAAAGTAATGAAATACAAAAGCCCATAATTAACAACAGTAGTGATGTAAAAACATTCGATAACCAGAATAAATAAATAAAAAGCCAAACTAGCAAATTTATATACAAAATTTTGAAGCCTAAAAGATTATCAGGTAATTATAAGGAGTAAGCACTGAGCTGGCATCACTGTATCGCTCTTGGAAAGGATATGAGGACAAGGAGCTGGGATATTAGGTCAGAGAGCTGGGATATTAAGTCAGGGAGCTGGGATATTAGGTCAGAGAGCTGGGATATTAAGTCAGGGAGCTGGGATATTAGGTCAGAGAGCTGGGATATTAAGTCAGGGAGCTGGGATATTAGGTCAGGGAGCTGGGATATTAGGTCAGGGAGCTGGGATATTAGGTCAGGGAGCTGGGATATTAGGTCAGGGAGCTGGGATATTAGGTCAGGGAGCTGGGATATTAGGTCAGGGAGCTGGGATATTAGGTCAGGGAGCTTAGATATTAGGTCAGAGAGCTTAGATATTAGGTCAGAGAGCTTAGATATTAGGTCAGAGAGCTTAGATATTAGGTCAGAGAGCTTAGATATTAGGTCAGAGAGCTTAGATATTAGGTCAGAGAGCTTAGATATTAGGTCAGGGAGCTGGGATAGGATGGAAGGAAGAAACTTTGAGCACCCACCTGGTCCACCGGGAATCGAACGCTGATCCTGCAAGAAGCCACGAAGTTGCTGTGCCGAACAATTCACTTTGTTGGGGCTAATGAAGCAAATGTTCCCAGCGAAATGCCTCAGGTTCCTTGAAAAGGTTGAGCGAGTAATTATCAAGAGCAGGTGCCAAGCGCGTGCGTACGTGTGCGTGTGTGTGCATGCATCAGGGAAGGACTATCCTGTAATGCGTGAGACATAATAACACCATCCCGCTGATCTGAACTTTCACTTGCAATTGACTTTCATAACATGCCTGTCATAACACCTCATGAACATGTTGCACACGTGCAACTATGTGTATGTGTGTATGGCCGTGTCCTCGCGCCCTGCATGCAAGGCCAGGCACCAGTTCTTGGGCTCCACCTTTCCAGTGGTCTTTGGTCCACTGGGACCGAAGAGCACCAGTGTTCAACCCTCTCTAGGGCCTACCTATAGGCCTCCTCTGCCTGCTCCTCCTCAAGTTTATGCCATGTAAACACTGATCAAAGACTCAATAAATGTGTTCTTGCAAATGCTAATGTTCTACTAAATATAAAGTAACATTGTCAGTGAAATAACTGAACTAAATGATAAATTTATATCATTTTAATATAACTTATATTAACTAAATTTTACTTTTGCTTAGATTCATTCATTTAATAATGGTTAATGGACTTTAAACAAAACAACTGCAAAGCTATGAGGATGGAACAGGTGTGAGAAGGGCTCAAGTACAGAACAGTACAAAGGGAAGGCAACTTCCCTCTTTAGAAAATGAGACTTGGGATTAGACAACTAAAAAGTCAAGCGAAGAAATGTTTATATTTATCACTCAGAATGTCCCGTATGCCAATCTGGCCAAGCCTTCAGAAACTTGGACAAAGAAGGCACCCAAGCGCTTTGTGTACAACCTATATGGGACCCGCTCTTGAGTATGCAGCTCCAGCATGCAACTCCTACCTAAAGAAGCACAAATCAAAACTAGACAAAATGTGGAAAGATATGAAACAAGGCTCGTTCCTAAGTGGACTCGAGCTTGGAAGACACCCAAAACAAACTTGATCTAACCACTAGAGAAAATACATAATAAGGGGAAAACATGTTAATTATATACAAGATTCTAGGTGAGGACACGGAGCAATATACTGACACTGAAGACAAGTGAATCACAGAGATGTCACAAGGAAGTGCTTCAGTTTAAGAGTCCCAAATAAATGAATTATATGAATAAGTTATCGAAGTCGAGACACATTTTAAAACGTAAACAAGACAAGAAAACCAACGAAAATAATTAGATTGAGCTACTGAAAAGAATTGTAAATTCTTGATTTGTAAATTGTAAAAATTCTTGAAAAATTGTAAAAGAAAAGGGAGAGGGAGCTAAAGAGACGACGCCTGATCCTGCACCCACATTTAGGCGAGCACACACACACATACAGGTACCTCAAACAGCTGTACCAGATGAGGACAGACTTATGCAGGTCTCGCCCCGCTAGGACCTTCAAGGTACTTTCAGGCAATACGGGTATTTAAGAGCCGGGGAGGTGGGAGAGCCTCACTTGTCACCCACAGCAGCGCCGACAGGATGAAGGCGGTGAGTTGGGCACAGTGCCCCATTAGCTGGTCACAGTACACACACTGGGCACAGTGCCCCATTAGCTGGCCCCAGTGCCCCATTAGCTGGTCACAGTACACACGCTGGGCACATTGCCCCATTAGCTGGCCCCAGTACACACGCTGGGCACAGTGCCCTATTAGCTGATCACAGTACACGCGCTGGGCACATTGCCACGCCCGCTGTCTACTGGTACGTTTATCTCAGTGACACATACAGCAGTGACGGCTTGACACAGGTGTCGCACAGATGGATTTGTTGGCTTGTCGTTCACTATATCGCAGTGTTTATCTCTAATACAAACGTCGGGTATAATAAGAAACAAACTCCATGTTTTCGGTTATCGCCCTCTCCAAGAAACAGACGACTGTCGGTGTCGCGATCGCCAGCACACGCATCGACATCTTCCCATGTTTACTATTTTATGAGAACATATTTTTGGGGGGATTCTATTAGGATTAAATTACTTTTATAGGAGTTTGTGCATGCATCTCTTAAGACTCCAAGCACCAGAGTGTGTTAACCATCTTGCAGTCAGAGTGCGGCATTTTCAAATATAAACTCCTTCATTATTTTGATTCTCGTATTTATATTTTAACCCATATTCTGTTTTATTTTCTTATATGAAAGAAAATGCATGTTAAATAGGGACGACTGAAGAAAAAATACCTAAGAATATTTTTTAGAAACGTTCTTGGCCAGTCAGCGAAATGTCAGTTTTTGTTTAATAATTTAAAAGATATAAGACCAAAATTTAATTTTATTAATTTTCTGAAGTGCAAAGAGTAACATTAACGTTGGACGCCGTGAGATTCTCTGTCCCCTTACAATTTTTTTTTCTTTGAGATATATAGAAGAGTTGTTACATTCTTGTAGAGCCACTAGTACGCGTAGCGTTTCGGGCAGGTCCCTGGAATACGATCCCCGCCGCGAAGAATCGTTGTTACAACCAAGTACACATTTTACTGTTGAGTTAAACAGAGGCTACAGTTAAGGATTTGCGCCCAGTAAATCCTCCCCGGCCAGGATACGAACTCATGACAAAGCGCTCGCGGAACGCCAGGCGAGTGTCTTACCACTACGCCACGGAGACTAATAAAGTTAACTGGCGTTGTAACTACACAAACAAATCACACTAAGGTGATGTATTAATTGACGTTCACCGCAGTGTAGGGGTTAATACATTGGATGTGTTTATCAGTCCCTACAGCCGAACATACTGGCTCGGGTGGAGTCAGATAATCTATTGGTTTCGTTGAGAGGTCTAGGAAGAGTTTGTAACAAAAAATATAATGTTTATGTGTTCTGTTTCAGCTTGTGTTGTTATTGCTGGGGCTGGGGGTGGCGATCGCCGCTCCCCAGTACTCTCTACCACCACCTACACCACCACCCCCACCCCCACCACCAGGATACGTCATAACAGAGCCTCCCCCACCACCTCCACCTCCCCCACCACCACCACCACCACCTCCTCCCCCACCACCACCTAAAGGATACGTCATAACAGAGCCTCCCCCACCACCTCCTCCTCCCCCACCACCACCACCACCTCCTCCCCCACCCCCACCACCACCTAAAGGATACGTCATCACAGAGCCTCCCCCACCACCTCCTCCTCCCCCACCACCACCACCACCACCTCCCCCACCTCCTCCCCCACCCCCACCTAAAGGATACGTCATAACAGAGCCTCCCCCACCACCTCCTCCTCCCCCACCACCACCACCACCTCCCCCACCACCTCCACCTCCTCCCCCACCACCCCCACCTCCTCCCCCACCCCCACCTAAAGGATACGTCATAACAGAGCCACCCCCACCACCTCCTCCTCCCCCACCACCACCAATCTACGGCACCCCAGAAGCCGTAAAGCCCCAGGTCGAGATCACAACTAACGAACGCCAGGAACCTGATGCGGAAGGGAAATACAGCTTCAACGTCGCGGGAGCTGACGGCACCAGTCGTCAGGAGCAGGGCGCCCCCCAGGGAGAGACTGGCGCCGTGGCTACCCAGGGAGGATGGTCGTGAGTATCCTGTCCCTCGACGCCTCAGTCTGGCAGTTCTCAGTGTATGAATGATCCTCCTCTCTCATTTAAGAGGAGAGACTGGCGCCTTCCACTTACGGGTGCTGTCTCCAGTGCCTGTCAGTTGTACGTTCATTATAAGCTAGTCAGTTTGACTGTCTTGACTGTCAAACTGTGCTGCACCTCTGCAAGGTAGCAGAACAAAAGGCAAATTTGGACTGGAAACACTTGTATAGCTACATATACGCCACTTTGGTGTATGTGGTGCATTTGTTCACTGGTATAGCTGTTCACACTTTAACTGCATTGTGTCTAAATACTCATGACGATAAACGACTCGCCACATATTGTTCAGCCTGGCGGGTCGTGGAAATTATAGTTCCTTGCATGGTGAACATTATCATATATAGGAAGTAGTACACATATATCTGTTGTAAACCTGCGTCTGGTGTTGTCTCCTGGCCACAGGTTCACCTTCCCCGATGGGACTCCGGGTCAGTTCACCTTCGTGGCCGACGCTAATGGCTTCAATGTGCAGTCCGCCCTGCTGCCCGTGGGTCCGCCCTTGCCTGCCCACGCCATTGCCCAGATCGAGGCAGCTAAAAAAGAGGCAGAAGCTGCAGCCGCTTCTCCCCCTGCACCAGTGTACTCCGTCCCTGCACCATCGACCTATTACATTCAACCTTAGCTGCCTGCTTGACTGTCTTTGTTTAAGAAAAGATTGCATGGAAGTAAGCTGCAGTCTAGAGACGCATAGGGGTATGCTACCTACCCTGACATTATCTTCCTTGAAACACTTCAAATTTCAGCTTTTAAATTATTATTTTTCAACTTAAACGCTTCAAATAATACTGGAGTGCCTAATTGCCCGAGACTTCAACTTCTCTAACTTTAGTGGAAAGAGCTGTATCAGCTGTTGTTGAGACTCCATCCACCTTCAACAGTGTAATCAAACTTAGAATGCCTTAGTTGCTGGGTCACGAATGCTCCTGCGACGCCGTAAGACAGTGATACAAGTTTTCGGATACTTTCTTGCTTAGAGAATATTCCTTAAGCAGACCTGGCTCTAAAGGGTTCAGACTTTCATTGGGTGGTGCCTTTGCTTCCTGGAATAATGTCAGGGATCCTGACTGCCTTCAGTTATATCAGATTTGAATGTTAAGCTGCTTTCAATTCTGCTTCTTTTTGACTCCTCAGCTTCAGTACTTGCCTTTGATTCTTGCTTTTTGAGACTCTAATGTCTGCGTTCTTACCTTCGCTGCATTTATTCCTTCTTGCATCCTCGGAATAATACATATATCTAAATTGTTTTCCCTCGCTTCACGAGACTAGCTAACAAGAACTTCGACTGTCTATACGACTTATACAATACGAAAACATAATTATTTATTGACATTATCTTATACTGCATCTTTAAATTATAAAAAAATATATATTTGTGCCTTTCATGCGAGTGTGACTACTTTGCCCCAATAAGATTTTCTCTAAAGAGAAAATATAATATTTCTGAATCATATTTATTTGGCGTCTTGTGTGCTTTAAAGCAATAACAAAGTCTGGAACTCTAGACAAAGCTTGACATCAGTGAAATCATAACTAAGGGAATGAGTTTGAAGGAAACAACCATCTTATGGATAATTTGAGTGTTGATGTGAAGTCACTAGAGCCTAACACTAGGGACGATCTAGCAAGAAATACCTAGACATTCCCTAGACAGCTACTAGAACGAGCTCCTGGAAATACGCATTCTTCATGTAAAGGGAATATGATATGAGAACTTTGGGAACTTTGAGCTTTCAAATAAGTAATGAGCTTTCAAATAAGTAATGGACAGAGAACAGGGTTAATAGCTAAATGTTAATAGCTAATATATGTGGTATACAAAAACTTTGTATACCACATTTGTCACACCAATCCTGGAGTATGAAGCTCCAGTATGGAGTCCATATCTAGTCAAGCAAAGGTTCAGGTTCAAAGGTGTGCCACCAGACTAGTAGCCGAACTGAGAGGTATAAGCTAGGAGAAGAGATTACGGGAATTAAACCTCACGTCGCTGGAAGACTGAAGAGTTAGAGGGGACATGATCACCACATACAAGAATCTCAAAGGAATCGATAGGGCAGATAAAGACAGGCTATTTAACACAAGGGGCACACGCACTAGGGGACACAGGTGGAAACTAAGTGCCAAATTAAGCCATAGATATGTTAGAAAGATTTTTTTTTTTAGTGTCAGAGTGGTTGACAAATGGAATGTATTAGGCAGTGATGTGGTGGAGACAGACTCCATACACAGTTTCAAGTGTAGCTATGATAGAGCCCAATAGGCTCAGGAACCTGTATATCAGTTGATTGACAGTTGAGAGGCGGGAGCAAAGAGCTAGAGCTCAACCCTCGCAAGCAAAACTAGGCGAATACAACCTTGGAGACCTCGCGGCTGAGTGGACAACGCTCTGGGGTCGTAGTCCTAAAGGCCCGGGTTCGACCCCTGGCAGAAGCAGAAACAAACGGCCAAAGTTTCTTTCACCCTAATGCCAATGTTCACCTAGCAGAAAATAGGTACTTGACAGCTGCTACGGGCTGCTTCCTGGAGATGTGTGTGTGTGTACTCTCCTAGTTGTACTCACCTAGTTGTGCTAGCGAGTGTTTAGCTACGGTTCTTTAGTCCTGCCTCTCAACCGTCAATCTACTGGTGTACAGATTCCTGAGTTTCTCGAGCTCTATCATATCTACATTTGAAGTTGTATATGAAATCTGCCTCCACCACATCACTTCCTAGTACATTCCCTTTACTAACTACTCTGACACTGAAAAAGTTCTTTCTATTGTCTCTGTGGCTCATTTGGGTACTCAGCTTCCACCTGTGTCCCCTTGTGCATGTACCTCCCGTGTTAAATAATCCATCTTTGTCCACCCTGTCAGTTCTCTTATGCTCTTGTGAGCACGTCACACAATGTACACACACAGTACTTATGAATACTTGGAACTTATGAATTTTATTTCCAAACATTAACCTGGATTCAGCGAAAGTAAATCCCGTTCGACCAACTGTGAGATGACACCAATCGAAAAGGAGAGAGAGAGAGAGAGAGAGAAGGAGAGAGAGAGAGAGAGAGAGAGAGAGAGAGAGAGAGAGAGAGAGAGAGAGAGAGAGAGAGAGAGAGAGAGAGAGAGAGAGAGAGAGAGAGAGAGAGAGAGAGAGAGAGAGAGAGAGAGAGAGAGAGAGAGAGAGAGAGAGAGAGAGAGAGAGAGAGAGAGAGAGAGAGAGAGAGAGAGAGAGAGAGAGAGAGAGAGAGAGAGAGAGAGAGAGAGAGAGAGAGAGAGAGAGAGAGAGAGAGAGAGAGAGAGAGAGAGAGAGAGAGAGAGAGAGAGAGAGAGAGAGAGAGAGAGAGAGAGAGAAAGAAAGAGAGAGAGAGAGAGAGAGAGAGAGAGAGAGAGAGAGAGAGAGAGAGAGAGAGAGAGAGAGAGAGAGAGAGAGAGAGAGAGAGGATTGGGAAGACTTTACTTTTAATGGATTACCAGAAAGCTATTGTCAGTGTTCCTAACAAGCGACTCTTCGGGCACAGTAAACAAAGCTGGTTGGTGCATCAGGCAGGGAGGTAAGTCGAGTGAAGGAGAACCTTTCAGTAAGGAGGCAAAGAACCACAGAAAGCAGACAGATATGCCAATGGAGAGACAATGAATAAAGCACGTACCAGGGGGCCATCATGCACAATAAAGCACGTACCAGGGGGCCCATCATGCACAATAAAGCACGTACCAGGGGCCATCATGCACAATATACGTGAACGATTTAACAGAGGAAGTCAGCTTCATTTTATCAATATTAGTTGACGAGGCTAAACTTATTAAAAGGATCAGAACTGTGGAGAGTATAGTATATTGCCAGTCTATAGAGGGAGCCACGCTGGACTTGTGATCCTGTGGTCCTGGGTTCGATCCCAGGCGCCGGCGAGAAACAATAGGCAGAGTTTCTTTCACCCTATGCCCCTGTTACCTAGCAGTAAAATAGGTACCTGGGTGTTAGTCAGCTGTCACAGGCTGCTTCCTGGGGGTGGAGGCCTGGTCGAGGACCGGGCCGCGGGGACACTAAAGCCCCGAAATCATCTCAAGATAACCTCAAGATATTGTCAGATGAATTAGTCTCTTCAGAGATGCTTTGCTAAGTGGATAAACATTTTAACCCCAGCCAAGTACATGTTATGAGAATGTGAATATTAGTGAGAACGCATCATATTCAGTATTCATGAATGGAATCCAGTTTCCCTATTTCATGAAAAAAACTAAAACTTAGAAGAAGATATAACTCTAAATCTGACATTAGAAGCAACAACCAATTATCACAGACAGTTCATGATAAACTCACCAACGTCTATATAGCCTTCAGGAAATGATACAAAGAAGCCTTTCTAACGCTATGTACTCCGTATGTAAGACGAACTCCTGTGAATGCAGCACAAGCATGTCACGCTTGCCTAAAGAAACTCGAAACAAACCATGAAAAGATCCTAAGACATGCATCATGTCTTAGGATCATCCTAAGCCAAGGGGACTCAGGAGTCGTAAATATATAGAGCATCAGAGTTTAGGACTCATAAATATATAGAACATCATAGTTTAGGACTCGTAAATATATAGAACATCATAGTTTAGGACTCGTAAATATATAGAACATCATAGTTTAGGACTCGTAAACATATAGAACATCATAGTTTAGGACTCGTAAATATATAGAACATCATAGTTTAGGACTCGTAAATATATAGAACATCATAGTTTAGGACTCGTAAATATATAGAACATCATAGTTTAGGACTCGTAAACATATAGAACATCATAGTTTAGGACTCGTAAATATATAGAACATCATAGTTTAGGACTCGTAAACATATAGAACATCATAGTTTAGGACTCGTAAATATATAGAACATCATAGATGAGGAAGTTGTCAAGACCAATTTGAAACACAGCTTTAAATGAAAATACGATAATAGCAAAATCAGACAAAAAGTCATTACACAGTAGGAGCAGATACTCGTGCTTGTAAACACATCAAGGTGAGAACATTTACGAGAGTACACCTAGGTGAGAACTTGTAGGCGAGTGCACATAGAGGCTGGAGCACCTGACGACAAGGCATAAACAATAAAGCCACGTTCTCGTGGCGGCTCAAAGACAAACACTCCAGCCACCTCCGGCTATATAAGAGCTGGGCAGGATGAAGAGCCTCACTTGTCACCCCGGGACCATCAGCAGGATCTCAACTTCTCTCCAACAGGAACCGGTAAAACCAATAACCAAAAACTGGCCCCCAAAAGGAACAATCTAATTGAACCAAAGACCTTCAAAGATTGGGGAAAGCGTAAAATAAAAAACCACAAATAATTATTTACTAAAAAGAAATAAACATAAAAAAGAAATGGAAGGAAAGAGAAAGAAGGGCTAAGGGAAAATTGCAGGAAGAAAGAGCACGAGAAAAAACAAGGAGAGGGAAAAAAGTGAAGTTGAGAACACAAAAGAAAATGAGAAAATTGCATAAAAACAATCAGGATAAAATTCATAATAAGAAATAGGAATTCATAAAACGAAGCGAATAAGAGACTAGTGGAGGAAATTATTTAAAAGACAGAAAAGGGAATCAACAAATGAAAGCAAAGGAAAGAATTAGAGGACAGAGCCTGGCAAACGTAAAGGTTAATGCACATTGAAGATCAAAAAGTCGAGCAAACTAAAGATCAACTTAATGCTGGGTGAAATCATGAGATCTTAGACCTAACAAGAATTATACACAAAACCAGAATTAAAGTAAACACCCAGATTTGACCACTTTCCAATTTAAGCTTTTATGACAACCAAAGGTATTTATCCCTGGTGTGGTTGGTCATCTACCCGCCAGTTATTTGTTATGTCGCAAATTTTCCATCTTTGTGGAGACATATTAAGAGGTTTTATTAGTGAATTTTAATTAGTGAGGTAAAGTGTTAAGTTGGGAAGTTTAAGTTGAAGGACTTAAGTTAGGTTAAAAGAAAACATTGGTAGGTTCAACAAAATCGTTCTAAAAACAATTTAACAAAGGCAGTTGAACAAACCTCTTCTAACTAAGAATAATTGTAAAACGTGAAAATTTTTCCTAAGGAGAAGAAGAACAGTACCAAAACTTAAGTAAAAAGAACAGATGAGTAGAGCAATAAAAGAGAGATTAAAAATGAATTTTAAATGTAAATTGGATTATTATTAATAAAATTTTAATTAAATATCAGAAGGTGGTAAGTTGGCCACTGTGCAACACACTCCTGCCCTGAGTAGACTGGTGGGATACTGTACAACTCACTCCGGCACTGAGTGGACTGGTGGGATACTGTACAACTCACTCCGACACTGAGTGGACTGGTGGGATACTGTACAACTCACTCCGGCACTGAGTGGACTGGTGGGATACTGTACAACTCACTCCGGCACTGAGTGGACTGGTGGGATACTGTACAACTCACTCCGGCACTGAGTGGACTGGTGGGATACTGTACAACTCACTCCGACACTGAGTGGACTGGTGGGATACTGTACAACTCACTCCGGCACTGAGTGAACTGGTGGGATACTGTACAACTCACTCCGACACTGAGTGGACTGGTGGGATACTGTACAACTCACTCCGACACTGAGTGACTCTAAGAGATAAAAACTGAATGAAAGTCAACGGAATCAAATAAAATAATAACTTGAAATTGTAATGCCTAAGGGGTAATGAATGAAAAGGAATCAAAATTTAAAGACCCATAATTATAAAATTTGAAGTTTCCCTGAAGTGAAAGGGATCTAAAGGAAGAATGTTAAGAAAGCTTAAGGTATTAAATGAACTGAAGAAATGTTAATAAAAACATTAAATAGTGAAAAAATGCAGAGAAGAATTGACAAAACAATTAAGAAAGAAGGGATATTGGAAAGGGATAAACCATTAGAAAACCTCCAAAAAGGAAAAAAGGAAGAACAGGGTTTGAGGGAAGGGAATAGAACCAAAAACAAGGAAAGATTGAAAGGAAGAAGTATGAAGGGAGAGGGAAATGAAACCCAAAAATTGAAGCCAAAGCAATGAAATAAGGAAAGGAACCGGATGCGAAACAGGTTTCGGTAAAAGGGAGGAAGGAAAAAGCAGGGATAAGAGGAGTAAAGGCACAACTCTCCAACCGGTAAATAGAACAAATACTGTTAAAGCCAAAAAAAGAAAAAAAAACAATAAAAAACAGACAAAGAAGGTGGGATACTGTACAACTCACTCCGACACTGAGTGGACTGGTGGGATACTGTACAACTCACTCCGACACTGAGTGGACTGGTGGGATACTGTACAACTCACTCCGGCACTGAGTAGACTGATGGGATACTGTACAACACACGCTGTCCCTCAGTTGAGACATAGACAGTCAGCTACGTTGTCTTATCGTTCGCTGTATCGTATTCCTGAGTTAGTTGGTGCTGTTTGTTGTCTGGAACACAAACGTTAGTTGTAATGAGTAGCTAGAAGTCGTACTGGTTTATGGCTGCTGTCTGTGTCGGTATCTCCAACACACACACGTCTTGACCACACATTCAATTGCTCACCCAACATGAAGACCCAGTTCCATTCTTTAAATGTTAAATTTCACAGAGTGTAACAGCCTCTGTCCACCGAGTTAACAAACGGAATTTCCTGATATGGGTTCACCAGAGGAGCAGTTTACCATACATTAATTATTGTTATTATTATTATTATTATTATTAGTTAATATCAGCTAAGGAGATGAAATTCTCGGCAATTTTAGGGACAAATAATTAGAACGCATTGCTCTGTTTCCTTTAGTGATACAGTTGTATTGGACGTGACGTGTCTGTATACCACCATATACCAATTGGTATATGTAGCAGTTTAAGGGTTAATACCCTACATGTGTTTCTCTAGTTCTGCTGTCAGCGACTATAGCTAGACAGCAAAACATTTAATTTTAATTTGTTTCAGATGACGCTGTTGTTGCTGGGTGTGACGGTGGCGATCGCCCAGTATCCCCAGTACCTACCACCGCAATACGACCCTCAGTCTCCTCCCCCACAGTCACAAACCTACGACAATCCAGAACGCCCGAGTTTCCAGGTTCAGGTCGAAACTAACAGTGGCGAGGGACCTGACGCGGAGGGGACATACAACATCGACTTCAAGGGTCCTGGCGGCACCAGTCGTCAGGAGCAGGGCACCCTCTCGGGAGAGAATGGCGCCGCGGGTGCCCAGGGAGGATATTCGTGAGTATCCGTGTCCCTCGACGCCTCAGTCTGGCTAGAATAATGTCCCACTTAGGACAGACTGGAACTTTCCACTTACTAATTCTGTCTTGAGTATCTGTCAGTGAAGGCAGCTGTACTTACTAGAGTGAGCCTACACAAGCCAGTCAGTGTAACCGTCTAGAATGCCAGACTAGAGACTTACAATTTTAGCCGGAAAACACTTGCATTCTTGCAAGTGTTTTGTATTGTTCACACTATACTGTGGATTATATCTCATGACGATAAACGACTCGCCACACATTGCTCAACCTGGCGGGTAGTGGAAATTATAATTCCCTGCATGGTGAACGTTATCATATATAGGAAGTAGTACACATATATCTGTTGTAAACCTGCGTCTTTTGTTGTCTCCTGGCCACAGGTTCAGCTTCCCCGACGGCACTCCGGGAGAGATGAACTTCGCGGTCGACTCTAATGACTATAAATAATGCTAAGTCCGACCTGCTGCCCGTGGTCCCGCCCTTACCATTGCCCAGATCGAGGCAGCTAACTAGGAGGCGGAAGCCGCAGCCCCTTCCCCCTTCCTCCCTACATCAGCGTACTCCGTCCCTGTACCACCAAATAGTTACGTTCAACCTTAGGTTGTCTGCTTGACTGTCTTTAAAAAAAAGATTGCCTAGAAGCAAGCTGCAGTCTAGAAACGCATGGGAGATACTACTTGCCCTGATATTAGCTTCCTAGAATCACTGAATTTCAGTGATTCTGAAATTCTAATTACTTTTTAGGTAAAACACAATTTTTAATTTATTCTGAACTGTCTTCTTGCTAATGAGAACTGTATCACCTGTTATTGAGTCTCTACCCACCTTCAGTATTGTAACCAAACTTGTAATGTTTTAATTGCTGGGTCACGTAGGCTCCTGGATACCTTATTACTCAGAAAATATTCTGAATGAATTGTAAACATTATTAGCTTTAAAGAGATAAGATTTTAATTGGGTGGTGTCCTTGCTTCCTGGTATATTAATGTTATGGATCCTTGATGCCTTCAATTACCTTAAAATTTAATGTTAGCTGCTTTCATTTTTAATACTTTTGTCTCCTTGGCTTTAGTACTTGTCTTAGGTGTACTTTGAGACTTTATTGCCTGCGATCTTACCTTCTCTGCATTTATTCTTTCTTGCATCCTCCGAATACCATATGTCTAAGCTGACTTTCTTGAGACTCGAGCTGCCAAAAGGCTTCGACTATCTAGAAGTTTTATAATAAAAAAAACACATTATTTATTGGCCTTATTATCTTGAACTGTATTTATAAATTATAAATAAATATTTTCGAACCTTACATGCGAGTGTGTGATTACTTTTGTCCCAATAAGATGTGTCCAACATCATTTCAAAGAGAAAATTCAGATAACATTCCTCAGTGTCATATTTATTTAGCGACTTGTGTACTTAAAAGCAGTAAGAAAGTCTGGAAATCTAGACGAAGCTTGTAATCAGGAAAATCATAATTAAAGGATTGAGTTTGAAGGAGGAAATCATGTTATGGATAACTTGAGTACTGATATGCGGCCACAAGTCCCTAACACAACGGACCATCATAAAGTCCCAAGACGAATAATAGACGTGATATGACCATATAATTTCTTGCCGTGAACGGAATATAAGAAACTCAGGAACTGAATCAGTGCCTTCAAATAGCGTTTACAAGGCGGGGTCAGGAGCTGAAGTTCAATTCCTGCACAAATGATTTAGAAGTCACACGCACAGTGCCAAGGTATATTGCTCAACTGTTGGTGCCAGGCACTGGCGTCTGAGGTCTGGTGCCTACCAGACGCTGGTTGCCTGACAGCTTTGAAAGCTTGTCAAAGATAAACAGTATTAAGAGAGCTTGCAGAAATAGACTGCAGAAATGGATAGGAAATTTGTACTATATGAGTACCTATAGGATGGGCCTGTAAACAGGAATGAGAAATGTGAAGGAGAACTTGCTAAGTTTGTATATAAAATTCGGAAAACCAAAGCCAAGGAAGCATTTAATAATGGCAAATGTCAAGCGATGTTAAAACCCATCGCTGATAAATTTGAGGACCTGAACCTGAAAATGGGAACAAATGAGACGAAGTATTTACAAAAGCAGTAAGGTAGTTAGAAAGGATGATGGAGGTTGCAAATAGCAAACTCCATAAACATTAGAAAGCAGACATGGAATGCAATCCTATCAGAGGGGAAGGGAACTATCAGGATAAAGCACCAAGCCATTACGGCTATATAGCCCCTGGAAGGGATAAGGAGAAGGATCTGGAATGGGACCAAGGGGGGTGGGAAGGGGAGGAATGGAGTCCAACCCACTTAGACGGTCAGGAATTTGACACGGACCTGCATGAAGTGAGACTCGCTCTCCCGTCAAGTCTCGTTAAGAGTAAGAAACCAGAAGAAATGATAACATGAAAGCAAGATAATATAGAAGAGTAACCAGGCCAGCAGACAGTTACTAACACAAACCAGAGTCGACAGAGAGTAAAGTCAAGGCGCTATAACAACATGCTTTCTTAAAGCAAACCTCTGCCAAGAATCCTCTACCATAAAACACATCTCTTCTCCCCCCCCCCCCAAAAAAAAAGAGATGCGAGGTCAATAGAGCTTCGGCTTTACACACGTGGTGTTCACGGTTCGAGTCTCCTCGAACCCAGGTTAATGGAACATCTCTTTCCCCCCTCAATCCTCCATAACAATTCCTGCCCACCAAAACATATCTTCATCGCTACTCTGACAACAAGATCACATCGTCTCTCTTTACACCTTACTCTACCAAACAGCAGTACTTCGCTGCTCTGCACTTCAAAGCTCTGTTCTCTCTTCCCCCCCCCCCCCCGCCTCCATCACGTCCCACATTCTGCACCTGAACCAAGTACCTCAACATTTAGGTCAGGATCCGTCAGGACAGAGAACAGAGTAACACAATTGAACCCAAAAATCTGATACACTAACGACGATGGAATGTGAAACGCTGTAAATTAAACTAAAGAAAGGACACAATTCCACAAGCAACATACTAGTTAAAGCTAAAATAACTGAAATGATCGCAACATAATATTCACAAGAAATAACCAGACCGCGTGAAGAGAAAGAAAGCAGGGGAGGAGGTAGGGGAACAGCAGTGCTGAGTAGAAGAGACGGGAGCATTAACGAGATCAGTATTGAGGAAGAGACCAAGCATGCACAGGATGTCGCAGCAATCACAAGTGAAGGGAAAAAATATGAATAATTCATCAGTGAACATCAGAAGACCCACATAAGATTACAGAGTTTGCATAAATATCATCCAAAGTCTGGATGAAATATTCCTTTGATACAAAGCGAAGCTGAAAATTATGGGAGATTTCAATCGTGGTTAAATTAGCTGGGAACCAAAGGAGGAGAGAGGAGGAGGAGATACGGAGAGCGAAACTAGTGGAAACAGCAGAAAGGTACTTCCTATTGCATCATGTTAAGAAGGAAACACACAGACAGTAAAACCAGCCAGTAAGGCAAAACCTGATTTTCATACAGATTGAGATGGACATTGAGAGCATCAGGCAACAAGTGGCAGTAGAGGTCCAGTGCCCTAAACCTAACACCAGAAGTACACTTCCACAGAATTAAAGTCTGCAGCACGTGTCAAAATCGCACGTACACGCCTAGGTTGACTTCAGGATCTTGTACACAAGAATTCCAAGCATATTATATATACATGACTAAACCACACATCAGAAGATTGAGAAACGACGACGTTTCGGCTCATCTTGGACCATTATTAAGTCGTGTGGTCCATGACAGACCGAAACGTCGTCATTTCTCCATCTCCTGGTTGTGTGGTTTGGTCATCATATCATCCGCCACGTTATTTTGATTCATCGTCTGCATATTATATATACATCTTATGCGAGACGTATTAAGAATAAGAGACATTATGTATGAGAAATATATTAAGTATGAGAGACGTGTTAAGTGTGAGAGACGTGTTAAGTATGAGAGACGTATTAAGTATGCTGTTCGAACATGGAAATCCCATGTCTTGAGAAACAGATAATAAAACAAAAAATGGTCCAAAGATATGCAACAAAACTCGTTCCTGAGCTAAAGGGACTAAGTTGTGAAGAAAAGCAGTGGAAACCATACCTCTCTTCACTGAAGTCAATATGGAAACGAGTAGACATGATACCGATGTAAAGATTCTTAAGGGAATTGACCAAGTAGATAGGGAGAGCAACGTTCAAAGTAAAAAACAGTAGCACGATGTAAAAACTGTAAGCTGGAGACAAATAAATCAGAGAGGTTAGTAAGAAATTTTTTCAGTTTAAACTTCATAAATAAATAGAATGTACTAGACGAGGACGGTGTAGAGGCCACTTTGGTGCAGTTGTAAATATAAATATGACAAAAACGGGTGAACAAATAACTGCATAGAAGGAATAAATCCTCTTGGCTGCAAACGCATCAAGGAGAGCACATCTAGGTGAGTATATCGAGTCTAGTACATCTAGGTGAGAACTTGTAGGTGAATATACATAGAGATTGTAGCACCTGAGGACAGAGGCATGCAGGCCACGTCTTCGTGGCGGCTCAAAGACAATCACTTCAGCCACCTCCAGCTATATAAGAGCTGGGCAGGATGAAGAGCCTCACTTGTCACCTCGGGATCATCAGCAGGATGAAGGTGGTAAGTTAGCGACTGTGATACACACTCCTGCCCTGAGTAGACTGGTGGGATACTGTGCAACACATGCTGTCCCTCAATGGGGACATAGTCAGCTGTGTTCTCCAGTCAGCCACAGTCTTATCGTTCGCTGTACCGCACTTGTGAGTTAGTTGGCGCTGTTTGTTGTCTGGAACACAAACGTTAGTTGTTATGAGTAGCTAGAAGTCGTACTGGTTTATGGCTGCTGTCTGTGTCGGTATCTCCAACACACACACGTCTTGACCACACATTCAATTGCTCACCCAACATGAAGACCGAGTTCCATTCTTTAAATGTTAAGTTTCACAGAGTGTAACAGCCTCTGTCCACTGAGTTAACCAACGGAATTTCCTGATATGGGTTCACCAGAGGAGCAGTTTACCATAGATTTATTATTATTATTAATCGCTAATATCATCTAAGGAGATGTAATTCTCGGCAATTTAAGGGACAAATAATTAGAACTATACTCTGTTTCCTTTAGTGCTAAAGTTGTATTGGACGTGACGTGTCTGTATACCACCATATACCAACTGGTATATGTAGCAGTTTAAGGGTTAATACCCTATATGTGTTTCTCTAGTTCCACTGCCAGTGACAATAGCTAGACGGCTAAACATTTAGTTTTCATTTATTTCAGCTGACGCTGTTGTTGCTGGGTCTGACGGTGGCGATCGCCGCTCCCCAGTATTCTGTACCCCCTCCACCACCACCCCCACCTCCACCCCCTCCACCACCACCACCCCCTCCTCCTCCACCACCACCTCCACCAACATACGGACCTCCACCTCCTCCCCCACCACCACCTCCCCCACCTCCACCACCCTACGGCGCTCCAGTAGCCGCCCCAAAACCCCCCGTTGAGATCCTAGTTGACGTGCGCAAGGGACCTGACGAGGCAGGAGCATACAACTTCAACTTCGAGAGTGCTGACGGCACTAGTCGTCAGGAGCAGGGCGCCCCCCAGGGAGAGACTGGCGCCGTGGCTACCCAGGGAGAATGGTCGTGAGTATCCGTGTCCCTCGACGCCTCAGTCTGGCAAGAATAATGTCCCACTTAGGAGAGACTGGCACCTTCCACTCACTGGTTCTGTCTTGAGTATCTGTCAGTGAAGGTAGCTGTATTTACTAGAGTGAGCCTACACAAGCCAGTCAGTGTAACCGTCTAGAATGCCAGACTAGAGACTTACAATTTTAGCCGGAAAACACTTGCATTCTTGCAAGTGTTTTGTATTGTTCACACTATACTGTGGATTAAATCTCATGACGATAAACGACTCGCCACACATTGCTCAACCTGGCGGGTCGTAGAAATTATAATTCCCTGCATGGTGAACGTTATCATATATAGGAAGTAGTACACATATCTGTTGTAAACCTGAGTCTTTTCTTGTCTCCTGGCCACAGGTTCACCTTCCCCGACGGGACTCCGGGTCAGTTCTCCTTCGTAGCCGACGCTAATGGCTTCAATGTGAAGTCCGCCCTGCTGCCCGTGGGTCCGCCCTTGCCTGCCCACGCCATTGCCCAGATCGAGGCAGCTAAAAAGGAGGCAGAAGCTGCAGCCGCTGCAGCCGCTTCTCCCCCTGCACCAGGGTACTCCGTCCCTGCACCACCGACTAATTA